AAAGAAAATGTTTCCTTATTTAACATTGTTACTTATTTGCAAATCTTGTTTTTTCGGAAAGTGTTGCGTCCCAATCAGGGTATAATGTTTGCGACTTTTTGCATTGTACCATAACGATTGTTGTTACAGACTATAAGTGTAATGGTGTAAATGTATCAAAGATATGGTGATATGATATGGTGTAAATGTATCAAAGATTGACAATATAGGTTCACTCTTTGTTGTACTTCACCCTGCAAGTAATAACCGCCGATTCTCAGTTCTTTATTTGACTTTCAGCAGAGATGTCGGGATGTATCCTATGACAGTATGTTTGTAGTATAAATTTCTACTTACCTCTTTATGTTATTTTTATGGATTATTCGCCATTACATTTATTACCACAAATGATTTTTATTTGTCCGTTAAGGACACTCCGGGAAATAAATCCGGAGCGCGAGAAAGCTTTGCAGCCTTTCAGAACGGGGTAATTGTTTTTTTTTAATTTCATTTATTTTGTACTTAAACAATTTTTTATAAGTTCGATTTGTATATAGCTACTCCTTGAGGATTTTTAAAGTACCCCAAATATATATTGTTGTCATTCAAATGTACGTACATATCTTCAAAAATATTATACATACATATTCATTTTTGTATAATGCTGACATCATTTTTTGTCCGAACTAATATTTTTTTCTGTTTTCTTCGTCAACATCGCTGGTATATGTTCTGAACATATTTACATACATATATACCATGAAATCCTCTAAAAATATTATTTTTAATTTTTGCAAAATATTATATTTGGCATAAAAAGAGAGCAATTGTTTAAATGGTTCCAATGGGATTCGTCTATTATATAATTCATATAAAAAACGTATGTTGGATGACCCCTTAAAGGGTTAATGTCATATTGAAATTTGGTAACACATATTGGGAAACTTTAATGTAAAGATTTGAATAATCAGGTCGCAACTCCAATTGATGTTGAGTAGCGGGTTTATGGTTGTCAAGTAGTTGGTTTAGGGCTGGTATAATGTTGTTATTTGGATCACAAGAATCATGTTGATAAATATTTCTGAACATGATTTCTGGACCAACAAACAAAATAATAAAAACTTTTGCACACTCTAAACTGATAACAATCATTTTTGGCACATACCAAATATTTAATATCATGGTAAATAATTACTTTAATGTGGGCCAAAATATTATTTGACTTATGTTGTAGATTAAAATGTTTGTAAAAGATTTTTTTATGTGAAAGGAGACGAGTGGTTGCTCTAGTGTACCATTAGACTAACAATTTATTTGTGAGAGAAGTGTGTTTAGTGTGGCCAAGCTAGTTGCATTCTCGCGACGATCCGACAATACGAGTAATTAATATACATATATAACCTGGAAATAAAACTGCATCACACATATGGGAATACTTATAATTGTCATGCCTTTGACATTTCAATCACGTTTGTTTTAAATTAAACTAAAGGAAAGGCACAATCATTCTGTTCCACATTAACAAAACATATGATGGAAAATTGCAAAATATGTTATGAAATCCTAGTTCTATAATGTAGACCATACCATCGACACATGTTGGTCAGACACAGACAAGAGGGCACAGCTTGACTTTCGCTTGATTACAGCAAATCCAGACCGTGTCAAGGGAATATCCTGTCTTGTGTGTGATTTGTGAAAGGCAAGTCACAACAGAACTCATTGAGACTTGTTAGTGGCACCTGAACTGCGCGTTCACATCTCTGTCTGTCTGACGACTGCAGCAAAGTGTTTTGAATGACATTTTAATGTTCAACACCGGTTGAGTCGAGGGAATATTCATTCTCATGGAATGGAATTCCACAGTCAATTGAGGGAAAAAACTAAACCACAGCAAATATTCGACGGCAGTTTATAGTGCAGAAAAATGGGCAAACTACCAGCGATTAGCTTAATGATGTAGAGTGATTGGTGCACGGCAAATGAATGGAAGTAGAGCTAATAGTTGATGTAGTCATTAACCGTGTAGATGTTGTTTCGACTTGAATTTAATTGTTTAATTGAAAACATTCTGTGCTAATGGAAAACAGTCTGCTCGTTTGTTGCACTGAGGCAGACACATGTGAGCGACTAATCACGTTCAAGTGCGTCTGCTATTATTTTCCATGGAAAGTGGATTGCATTCTTGGCATTTCATTTGGACAGAGATTCTTTTAATTTATCTCAGTATTGTTTTGTTTGCAATGACATCATGTGTTGGAAAATTGAATTGAAGCCCCCTGATATAGTTAACGCCTTTCGAGCAGAACAAGAAAAAACTCGGCTAAGGTCAGCGACAAAGATTTAAGTTTGTGTGTTTTGATCATTTACACCTTTTACCGCCACTAACATTGTCCACCGACACCACCATGCAAATGTTTGCCTGGCATATTGAACTTGAACTTTTTCCACATAAATTTGTCTGCTAACCGCTTAGCTGCATTTTTAAGCGTGTGTGTGGAAACGTGTTTGGCTTGCCGTTCGGCATCGCTTTTGGCCACACCTCAGTTGGCAATAACTGGACAGCTTTTTAGCCACGCTTGGCAGACTGCTTGGCACGAATGTTTATGTTTTTTTTATTGGATCGGTGCAATAAAACAATAGTAATATTCGATGACAAGTCACATTATTCGCGAACTGTTTTTGGATGTTGTATCTTGAAATGACATGCACCTTAAGTATGCGTTAGAAATGTTGCAATAATTCTTTGGTGGAGAAATTTACATATCTATATGAGCCGAATTGAAATATTTTTGAATAATGAATTTATATGTTGTAAACTCAGATTCAATAGACTAGATTGATATTTATTTTTCAATTCATGTCTGGACTAATTTTTTAGACGGAAGTATTGAGATCACATCTTGTAATAAAAGAAAAACGTTGTTAGTCAATATACGAAATATCGAATAACCATGGACAATATATTAACCTTTATATCTACTTATGTCGTTATGAACACACTTAAGTTGTAAACGATTATAAAAACATTTAAAACGGCATCTTATTTGTCGACATGTTAGTTCGTCCGTGTCTCAATGACTTTTTTATGAATGGTGTATTGCTTGACAGACTTCACATTTAACCTGTTGTATGGGCCATCAATCATGTAACACATACCTTCATTTTGTGTGTGTGTAAGTGTCGGAAAACACGTCAAGCTGTGTCTTCCATCTTGACAAATTTACCTGTTCAGTTTATGTTGATGAGTGACATTGACTGTCGTGTGGTGTGACAGGACATTTGGCTGTCTATTGCAACCTTGTCGTTTGTGAATGGAACAAGGATATTCAAAGGGATTTATTTAACAATAATGAAATGTATGTCTATTGTTTGTCATTATGTATATCATTAAATGAGAACAAATCTATGAATACTTAATTGTATTTACATGTATTAAAATTAATAAAACATTTATATATACATAATGATTCGAGAAAGAAGATCAAATTTAATTTTTATATCGCCCTATATCGAATACTATAGGTGTGCGTTACTGCCAAGCACCAAAGAAAGTCTTCTTTTTAAGGAAACTTACCAGATAATACAATTTCAAAGCTATTCAAAAATGTTAGTGAACTCGTTGTTATTAAACTCCCAATTGAATGATGTCCATCCCATATTGGCCACTTTTGCGTAACAAAATGCAAACATACTTGTATTACACAGTGCTGTTTTGTATGCCCCATGGAAAAGCATATTCAACTTGATTTTGACTACACTTACATACATACAGTCTTGTCAGTGTGAGTTAATATCATAAAAGTAATCATAAAAATGTTAACACTCACTGCCATTCGGATGGGCTAATTGCAAATTGGTATTATCGAAAGTTATTTGCACATTGGTGTTGTCTAACACACCAGGTCTTAAATGTTGGAGTCTAAGGTGATGTGTTTTTTTTTTGTTTTTGTTTCTTTCATGAAAAAATGTCACATTAGATGTCAGGAATGTCATCACAGTTCATCTTCAGCTGCCACAGAAAATCTGCCACAATGTTGCAGCTTTACTACTCGGTCATGTGTAAAACTAATTTTAATTTACTCTCACAACGTTTTACAAATGACTTGAGCGTAATTGCTAAGCAAAATGATGACTGTGATTAAAACCAGACTTGATGGTTTTGAAGTATAGCTGACGTTTTATTTTGATGTATAAGTGTGTGTGTGTGTGGCATTAACTTTCCCCTTTCGAAGATGATGTCTTGCATGGGATTTCATTTAGGGGGTTTCCATTTATTATTATGACATTAAGTTAATATATCAATTAGTGATTGATTAGTGGTTAGGACAAGTAAATGTTTCTAGTTTTCTTAATGGTTTCTATATTTCCTACAGATTAGCATATGAAACGGAAAGCTTTGTATGCGAAATAATTTTATAATGAAATATAATTTCCATACATTTAACAAAAATAAAAACTTATATATATATAAAACATATATTATAATCCTATTACGGATAATTTGCCTTTCTGCGAAAACAGTATTTTGTACTGTTGTTTCCAATTTAAATTAATACAAATCCTTATTTAGTAAAATCGGGTTTCGATTTCAATAAAATATTTTTTATTTTATTTAGTCATAAGTGAGTTTATGGCAATATTTCTTTTCGAATTTAACAAATTGAGAAGACAAATTTAGTTTCAAAAAAATTAAAATTCCAAAAAAAGTTAAATTTTGCAAAACCCTATTAATACAAACACTGTAGATGTATTTCTCGAAGCAACCCCATTAGTTGAATCACTTTCGTTGTTTGCTTTCTATTTGACACAAGTTGAGGCACCATTCCAAAACAAAAATCTCCACATACATGTGCATACTGATGGTGAGAAGTTTGAACGTTAGGAAGATGTCATAATTATGATGTGAGAATATAAAAATAAACAATAGATTTGTCACGATCAGTGGTGAATCACGTTTTTAAGCAACAAGTTTTTTAAATGACTTTCTACGATTTTTCCTGTTTTTTTTTTTTTTGCAGATCACAATCGAATTATAAATCAAACGATTACGCCACCGTCTTCAAAGAGTAACTCTAGCAAACCAGACACGCCAACAGACCTTCAGGAAAATGGTCTTTCTCTTCTCAACAATAACAACAACATCAGTGCATCGACAGCTGCCACTGCAACGACAACAGCGGCATCGATCACAGACAAGAGTGGTCCAAGCATCAGAACAAACTCCAGGACATCTTCGCCTGTTCTTTTGGCCATTAACAATAAGAAAAGTACTACACCCGCCTCACCATCAGCTGTTACCAATCATCTTAGCGATAAGGTTTGTACCATTACTCCCACCTATACCATGCCACCTAACCTCGTAATCTCTTTTTTAGAAGCTGCAAAGTAAATTACATAATTCATCATCGCCATCAACGTCCACAAATAATGTTAGCCGAAAATTGTTGTTGCACAAACAGCACCAGCAACTGTCAGATGACGCCGTTGTCATACCTTCGGCAGAACCTCCGGTTGCCGAAGAGTTGCAACAATTGAAACTACTTAACCGGCACTCGTGTAATGGTGCATTGAACTATGAGGCATTTGAACAGCAACAATTGCAACTGCAGCAGCTGCAACAACAATCGGCTCACCAAACTAAGAGCACAGAAGCTTTAGGAGTGCTGCTGCAATATCTGGTCTATGATGTAAGTGTCACTAACATTCATATGCGTCCATATACTGGCTGATAGATGGATAGTCGTTGTTGTTTGTTTGTTACTGGTGGTGGTCGCATTGGTTGTTGTGACAGCCAATTTCGACTTCCGTAACTAGGTACAAATCTCTAGATCCAAATCGATTACATGTTAGACCGTGTTAACCACGATTGCTTGATTGACACCATGGATCGAATATAACAAAATGTTAGAAATAATTAAGTGGAAAGTGATTGTATGCCTTATCACTATATCAAGTTATATTCAATAAGGTAGCCGCATCGGCCCAGCGGTTGGTGCAAATAAATGACAAAAATGTTGTAATGTAGAACCAAAAAATTAAAAAAACAAAATTATAAATGAAAATCTCCGAATTTTGAAGAGCTTGTTTGGCAATACTTTTATTAACATTTTCTACAATAATTTGTGTAAAAAATCTTATGAATCTGTTTGTTTTTTGCAAAACATTTTTGACATATCAAAATACAACAACTGATATTTGTTGTAGAAATTCGCCGATGCGGCTACCTATATATCTACCTTGCACTATATTAATGGGATAGTTGCACTCAATGGTCTAAGGCGATATTCCTTGATACGAAGGTAATTCTGTATCGTAGATTTAATATACATTAAAGTGTGATGCTTACATCATTCCACATTGATATAACATTTCTTATAAATTTCTTCGAATTGTGTTCGCCTTTTCTAACCCCGAAGCAGAGCAAATTCACAATATTTACGATTTTCCATTTTGTTTCGAATTCTTGCAATGCTAGAAAATTGTATTACAATGTTTTTCTTAATGACAAAATACCCACAAAACAAACCAAACAGCTGCTTCTGGTCTAAGAATTTAGATCAATTTAGGTAAAGGTGTCATGGTATTCTTTTGATAACATTAGGAAATAGATATCATTGATAACAGCATGAATTTCCATACCCTTTTAATCTTTGTTTTTCCACTTTGAAGAGAAACCCTTTGAAATTTTTGGGTTTGGAAAAACAAAATGCATATTATATTTGTGGGCTGTTTATCACCAACCTACTACTTGTTTTTTGTTTTGTTCGAACAATATCACAAAAATAGAATCCTTTTTGTTTACATTTTCGAATTAATTGGTTCATTGAAGGAAAGACTTGGTTGACGGTATAAAAATCCGTTCGAAAACATTTTGGATTTTGTTTTACGTACATATCGTGTACAATTGGGATCTTTCTACAATATGTCAACTGTATTAGTATGCGGTAGACACTGATATTAAATGTCATAGTTTTACCTGAAATAATTATTAGACCATGTGGCAACAGGTAGCATAAATTTTATTATCACTACCCACATATTAATTACCTCTATTGAATAGGCCATAATTCCCATAATTTTTCTGCTGCAGTTAATTACAAATTTCCATGATCTGTACTACTTCACAAGAATTAGATAGTGTTAGGCCTTGTTCGATTTATGCCATATTGCTATTCAATTATATAATGCGATTCGCACTTTTTATGTTATTTTGTTTTGACAGTTTCTGTTCCATTGCCCGGCATAACTAGTAAATTTGAAGTTTAATCGTGAACAATAATATAAATACAGTTATGATTTGAATTCGTCATGAGATTCTTAAGTGACGTGAGATTTACAAGATATTGTTTTTATTCGTCGGTCTTTTACAAAAATACAAAATGCATTAGAGTTGCCGACATGGAATAACACTTATCCGAAACATTATTTGAACACATTTTTACAGATGACTGGTATTAGAAGGCATTGAACATTTGTTGGGCGTTATCATAATGAGGTTATTTTCGAATATGCTTTTTAAAATTCGTGGTTCACGGATTAAATTAACCATATAGGAAATGTTAGTATGGGATTCTGTGCAGGTTTACATAAAGATATCGATTTACCTCTTTTCTCGGAATTTTAGCATTAACATATTAATTGTATATTTTAAATATACTAAAAATTGTATAACATGTTTGTTTTAGTTATTGATTTTAAAGATTGGCAAAGACTGATTTGCGGACAAAAGAAAAAAATGCAGACATACCGATCACATGTGTCAATATTGATCGTATAACCAACCATATGGATGAATGTATTAAGTCGCAACAGATGTTGGACAAAACTGCGTGATTACACTCCTGCAACAATAATCGCTTGTAATCGGGGAAAACCCCTTCTAAATCTTGATATGAAATATTCGATTTCGAATAGCATTTCCTTATGTTCCTTTATGATTACGTTCACCAAATCCTTTAGTAAATTGTTGAAAAATTGCAATTAACTGTTCACATTTAAAAGGATATTCCGTGAAAGTGGCTTTAAAAGCTGCATTTTATTAATCTATCCTATGGGTTGTTTTAAATGGTGTTGTTGAATATGATGAAATGGCGCCCTTGTTCGATTACATATTTTGTATGTAACCTCCAATGCCTTAAAATATTTTTATTTACTTTTTAGGGAAATAATTTAGATTTTGCCTAATGATATTGAATGCAAATGGATTAGAATTGTGCTAGAATTGATCCAAATTACAAAAATTTTTTTTATTAAGGGGATAATCCCAGAATTGACTTTTTATGTTAAGAGGGAGTGCTCCTTTGTATATCAGTTCTTTCTGCGAAGTTTCTATTATGTTTATACAGTTTGTTTTGTCCATTTAATGATCTATGGCCAAAAGTTTGTTTGTTTTTTTTAATTCTAACAATTTTCCAACATTCCTACATACGTTTCAATGCAATTACTTTTTTTTAATCAATTTCTTCAATCGCAACATATGTTTTATCTACTGTACATATTTTCTTTTATATCTATTTATTTATATTTTCAGGGTGTATTGCAATGAACAAAGATATCGGTTATGAATAGTGTGTGCTATTGTAAATATAATATTTCAGATTAGAATTTTGTATTTGTACTACTGCGTTCCACATACAGTATGCTTACTGTACCCAAACACGTGTAACTAAATATAAAAGAAGTCCTTCAGAAAAAAAAACAAAAACAACATTCACATGCATATTTATTTATTTGACGAGATTTCATTTAGATTGTATCCGTTTCGTTTGTTAAGATACACTGTTAGGCTGTAATCTCTTTAATGTCAATAGGATTCGAGGCCAATTGTTGTACTCGATAGGAGTTGTTTACAAGAAGCAACAGTTGCTCTGTTGCGAGCTGGGTGTGGAGTATAGGAGGATACATGTGTTCGAATTGAAAAAGAATCTAAATAAGAAAGCGGACATAAAAGAACAGATGTTGTAAACGTTTGCTTGTCTACCTGCTACCTGCTTGCAGGATGTTAACAAAGTACGCTGGTATAAATTGCTAGGCCTAAGAGCCGTAGGCATCAGTTTGCTTTTAGTAATAGAACGTAAAACAGTGTGATTTTGTATTCGAAACTAATATTAACATAAATTCGAAAGAAAAAATGTTTGCCAAATTTGTATTTTCAAAGGAAAAACTCTCCAACGAAAACATGATTTCATGGACTTCTTCAAAATCTTGCCATTGTAAATCCAATGGTTTAGATTCTCCATCTGCGGTATGTGTCGTTATACTCTAATTAGGGGGGATTAGTGAGTGCTGAGTACCTACCTGGTTAATCGGATTTCCATTGCAATTCTAATGGTTTTTATATATTTTCTGTCTATATTTTTCACTTACAGTTGGATGCTTTTGCATGTCCATCGCTGAGATCTGAGAATACTAAAACAAAGGATAAACTAAAGAAGACCTTGCTATTGTTGGACGAGGCCAAGAGTACTTGTTCTGAATTGCAGGATCAGCTTTGTGATAAGGAGGCTTACTACATAGAAAGAGAAAATGAATTACAGGCTTTACATCGCTGCGAGTTGGACAAAGGTAGGATATGCAATTCTATACCATTAAAGATGAAAAATACATGTGCATTTTTCTCTTTTAAGCCCGAACGAGTTTTGAGGAATTCGAAATTGCAGCAAAGCGGCAAATTTCTGTTCTGCAATCGCAACTTGAAAGTACGCAGACGGAAAACCGCAACAATTTCGAAAGCTATCGTAGTGAAATGGAAAAGAAGCTCTCCGAGAAAGTAGATCAAATAAGAAGTGCAGAGGAACGTGAAAGTGTGCTACAGCAACGTTTGGAAAATTTGGAAATTTCTGAACAGAAGCTACGGGAAAGAATTACCCAAACGGAGGACTCCTGTTCGAAGCGTTTGCAACAGTCCGCCGAACGAGAAATGGAGTTAATGGAGCGCATCAAGTCGTTAACCAAAGAATTGGATAGGCTGAAATCGCAAAAGGAGAGCAACGAACGTGATTTAAAGGATAAACTTAATCTTTCGAATGACGAAATTGCCATCCTGCGTACCACACGGAGAAGCCTAAACGAAAGTGGGGTCTGTTCACCACGAAACACTTCATCGTGTTCAGCAGTGGGCAATATGGAATTTTCTCGCCTTCAAAATGAAATTGAAAGCCTAAGATGTGTCTTGGAATTGAAACAGAAGGAAATTTCCAAGTTGACCAAACAAAATGAAGAATTGCTAAGGGATGCCGATGAGAAATTAGCTTTGCAGACAAAAATCTCTCTACTGGAATCCAAGAATGAAATGCTGCTCTCTGAAATGGAAATTAAATCGGAAAAGGAAAAGTAAGTTCAGTGGCTACGCTTTATTTGTCAATTCACTAATTGTTGTTCTTTTTAACAGGGAATACCTGAGACAGATAGATGAAATTCAAAAAGCATTCAATCATGAGACGGTCAAACGTACCCGATTGTCCTATGACAATGAAGCCCTGCAGTGGCAACTGAAGCAACGTTCCGAACAGTTGCATCTTGTAGAGACCAAGCTGCATGAACTCTCATCCCACGAAATGTCATCGACCTCAATCACCAATCGTTCCTCTTCGAATGGATCTGCCTTAAATTCATCGCTGCACATGGACGACATTTCACCGCCCAGTTCTCCAGTTATTAAGGGAGTTATCGAAAAGACCGATTCTGTGTCGTGGGTGCTCGAAATGGACGACGAAACTCCAGAGGCCGCTGCTACGAAAATGGTCAAACGAGCTGGTTCTTTTCGATCTGTGGAACGTAGTTCCTCCATGAGAAAACAGTTGTCTGTTAGTGCCAGTGCGGGACAAACATTTAATAATAGTTTATTGGATACAACTGGGCCAAATCCTCTCTCCCAGTCCATGTCCGCCACCTCCGTGATAAGAGAACATTCCAAAGTTGAAACAAATGAATTTAATAATAGATTACACCCACGTATACGCTCAAAATCAGTTAGTGTAAAGGGCTGCGAAGCCTTGCAACAAAAGCAGAAGTCATCATCTTCAAAATTGTCGCGACAATTGTCATCGGGTAGTTCACGTAAAAGCACAGAGCCGGTTGATTTCAAAGAACCCCTCACGTCCAGTTCTCCCTTTAGTGTTAGACCTAGAACCTCTACGTTAAAAATTGATAACGAACAGAGTGAAGATGCTTTGTTTAGGCGCAGTAGTGCTAAGCTCATTACTTGTGACACCTCCGCATTAAATAAAGGCGAACGTTTAGAGATGCGCTCGCTACCCTCACACCCCTCTGTACAGGACTTGAAAGGTATCAAAAAGTGTCAAGAAATACAAGAGTCGGCGGGAGAAGCCATGGTATCGGGAACAAATTCCGAGGACGAAAGTTGCTCAGCTTCGTCAGATGATGTTGTTAGTACAGCCTCGTCGTCAGGCAATTCAGATTCGACTAACTCCTCAAATCAGTTGAAAAATTCACGCATGTCCATAGAAGATGTCTTGCTTATGGAGAAGATGAATAGCCTATCGGGCACGCCCATGGAAGTCAGCTGGTCCGAAGATGCAGATGGCCTGGCAAACAGTTCTACGCTATGACATGACCTTGAACGTCATGATATGTATGAAGTCCAAGAGGACGATGAGGATAGTTTTTAAGGTGGTAAGCATTAGTTGGAGCTCCACTTTTTCTTGCCCATTGAGAACAAGTTAATGGGATACATTTGCGCAAATCATCACCATTGTTTATTAGAACACTCCTGTAGACCACAATTTAGAGACGACTTGGAATTAGCGGACCACCGCCCACACTGGCAAATTATGGAGATACGCTTGTATATGAAAATGATTCGATCAGAGGACATAATGTTCGGCGGTATTGTGGCCCTTCCTTGGCCAATTTAATCCAACCTCTTGGTGCGTCTGTTTAGATTGAGAATTCACGTTTAAACAACATCAACAACCACATTTTAATGTTAAACACTCATGTTTAGTAATCTTTTACTTTAAAAATGAAACGTTTCTTAAAAATTTGTTACATGTACATACAATATATTATATTTTATTTATTTGTGAATTTATTTAATAGAAAATACATCAGAGAAGAAAACAAGCAAGCTCTAATCCTACAAAAGAAAAACAACAATAATAAAGAAAATCATGAAACAATACTACATAGAAAGACCATTCGTTTTCTCACAAGTTATAAATCGTGTCCACAAACACTTGGTAGCAAATATAAATTTAAAAACGTCGACAAAATATAATGAGTTATTTGAGAATATTTTGATAGATAAATATTGATTACACGGAAAAAGAAGAGAACTTGTATCTAGTTACGTCAAGATTAAATAAAATTAAAAATATATATATTTTATTTTTCACTATATATTTTCTTACCAAGTGTATTGGCTGAGTGATAGAAAATTAGGTCTCTGGACCATTGAGGGGAAAACATTTAATGTCATACAAAGATATTAGGAACATTACATTACTGTTTGTTTAAAATGTCATTTTTAGTTAATTATTATACATATGTTTTGTAGAATTGATAGGGCCATGTTTACATACATAAGAATAATGCGAGCCGAAAAGAACCCAAAGCCGTCTATTGAATGATTAATTGTTTTCGCTAGCTGAGTAGAGTATGGCATTTAGGTATAGTATGATGCAAATCGATGACACTCCCTCTCCTAAATACAGCCGTGTCTTAAATTGTTCATAAGTATTTATTCCATCTAATCGCATATTTATTTATGGCTTTGAAAAATTTTGTAAAATAATTCTCGTCTATTATTAGATTGTTTGTTAAACTATTATTACTGCTATTATTAAATGTATTAGAATATTAATAAAACGTAATCGCATTGAAATTATGAGCAACTAAGCAGCAAAGCTTGAGGCAATTGAACCAAATCATTCAAATATAAATTAGAGAATCATTGAAATTAGATTTAAGGTGGTCAAAATAAATTCTACACTTTTTACAGTACTCAAAAATAAAGAATATTAAAGACAATTCAACAATTCTTAATAGGAAAGGTGGGATTAATTTGTTATAAGTATGGTTTTTTTTAATTCTATAATTTCGATTTTTTCGTTGTCAAACTTCGTCAACCTTTTTTTGTATGAAAACAAAAACTTTTCTAAATTTTGCTCCACTATACATGAATGTTAAAAATGATATGTTTTGGTACTAATTTACATTTTCATTGAATCATGGTATATAAGTATGTATGTGTAGATGGTCATTAGTCTAAAGCGATTACATGAATAGAAAACACAAACAGTTATTATAAGAATAGCAACAATAATAATATTATTAATTAATAATTTATGAGCAAACTAATTTTGCAAAAGAACAAACAAGAATTAAATGAAATTAAGAAAATAAAAACATAAATATTGTTTTGAAATATATTACAAAAACCAACAACAAACTGTCTTTTATTTCACTTTTTAGGAACACTCAATATAAATAAATATATAAATGTATTGAATATCAATAAATACATGTAGTGAAATATTGGTCGGATTTCCCTATTAAGTATATATTATTGATCAGAATACAATTCTATTTTTATTTATCGATCTGCCTGTTAAAATACGATAGGGCATGTAATATATCGGTCTGTAACGGTATCTCCCGACTTTCGGTATTATGTTGAAGGTTTTATCTGAATTTTCCAACCGAAAGGGCTGTAATGATTAAAATCAATTTGCGAAGCGCTCAACTTTTGGACCTACTTTACCATGACCAGCAAACAAATCTTATAGCACAAATACGTTCTACATTTCTTATTCAAAAATTTAAAAACAATTATATTGTTGTTGTTTTACAGGAAAGTATGAAATTGTGTGTTTCATATGGCACCAATTTTTTTTAAATAGCTAGTCGAATTTTTAATCCACCTATACAGTAATGGCGTTGTTGAGAAGTGTTTGCCAGTGCCAAATTTAGAGAAAACCGTCGATATTTTAGATTCTTCATAACTTTTGGATTAAACGTAAATTAATAGCTTAGTACATGGTTCGAGGGAATTCTAAAGCTTTATTCCATAGATTTGATTTAGAGTTGGTAAAAATACGACGATTTCGGTTGTGCAAAGTTTGATTAAAATTGGATAGCCGGTTCGAATTATATGAAATGGATTTGGCGCAAAGAAACATGGGGTCTAAAACAGTAATAACATATTTAAATCGAACATAAAGCAGTTGTGTTCAAAGAAATAGTAGGGCAGTTGATCAATTTACAAATGACATTCAAACAACCAAATACGTACATATAGTATACAAATTTTGAACAATGTAATCTAAAGATGATGGAAGAGTATAAAGGCCCGAGAGATTTGCTGCTGGTTTCTTGAATTTTCTATTTATACCAGACGTCAAACATGTTTGTGTTATTTTCGTTTTAAGTTCCTTACTTCTATTTTTATGAACAGAGCTAATTCTGACTATTTTCTTTTATTAGTATTATTTTTTTTAATAGAAAAATATTTTTTTCCGTAATAAATGTGTTGAAAGTAATAAAAATGAATTATACACTTTATTTGCGTAATTTAAAACGAAAAAATTATGTGTTTTTTAATAACTTAGAACAAAAGTGCACTATTATTTTAATGAACACGGATGTATATTCATTGTAAAGGTTACATCTGTACCTATCAGTTAGAATTTTAAAAAACCAAAAATTACAAAAAAATATGAGGCTTGAAAGCTAAAAAATTTCAAAGGTGCCCTCTCTCTCCTGCATTACTGCATAAGATTGGAATGTTTTACAAAATTATTTTTCATTTATTTACAAAATATATCACAAAATATTACAAAACAATACGAGTAGGACCTAAACTAAACAAGATTCTTAATTATGTAGATGCATTACTTTCTTGCATTGTCTTAAATTGTTGGAGTAATTTGAACTTTTGGATCTTCCCGGATGTTGTTTTGGGAAATTCTTTCACAGTGACAACATACCGGGGAACCTTAAAATATGCTAATTTTCCTTTGGAAAATTCTTTAAGTGTATCGCGGGTAATTTCTTTGGTATCGTCTTGTAAACGTAAAAATGCACAAAGTTCTTCGCCCAGACGTTCATCGGGAACACCAATCACCTAAAAGTATAGATCACAGCATAAAATTACAGTGCCCAAGAATGAGTTATCGAGTTCTTACATAGGCTTCCATTATATTTTCATGGGTGTTGAGGAAGTCTTCAATTTCTTTGGGGAAAATGTTTTCACCGCCTCGGATGATCATTTCCTTTAGGCGACCTACAATGCGACCATATCCATCCGGTTGTAACACAAATTGATCTCTGTACGAAAGAACAGAACATAATATTTGATCGAAACTATAGCTACTCCAGTGACTTACCCTGTACGCAACCATTTATCGGATCCAATGGTTTCCTTCGTTTTCTGCTCATCTCCATAATAACCGAGCATTGTAAGGTAGCCTCTAACGCACAACTCTCCAGGCTGGCCGAATGGTACGGTGTTGCCATCTTTATCAATAACTTTAACCTCGATGTCGTCCTGGATATGACCCACCGTAGTTAGGATTTGCTCAACGGTGTCGTTGGCGCGCGTTAGAAAAATAGACGCTGTTGATTCCGTAAGACCGTAGACGTTCCTAAACTCTTTTACTTTCAAAATATTCTGCATGTCGAGAAACAGTTGTGGCGTGCAAATTGCTCCACCGGTCACGGCCATTTTGAGAGTACTCAGTGGCAAATTCAATTCCTTTTGTTTTCGGATCAGATCAACGTACATTGTCGGTGTGCCATGGATGACTGTACACTTTTCGTCGACTATCGACCTTAGAGATGCCTCCGGATTGAAAGCGGGGGCGGGTAAAACCAAAGTGCCACCATGAGACAATGCTGGCATAATGGTGACGACAACGCCAAATGCATGGAACAGAGGTACTTGCACACATATCCGAGCACCCGTTGTCTGATTACGATTTCCAATGTGAATACCATTGTTGACGAAGTTGAAGTGGGAGAGAACAGCAGCCTTCGGTTGACCTGTTGTGCCAGAGGTAAATTGAATGTTGCACGGCGAGTCGGGAATGATGTAGGGCTGCAGTTTCTCAATTTCTTTCAAATCCTCTTTATTGCCAATATCTAAGAGTTCATTGAATGTAAGTGCTCCCTTGAGCGCTTCATCGGTGTCTATGATGACGGCCTTTAAATGTGGCAAGTTTTCACTCTTAATGTCGCCTTTTTGACTCGATGAAATTTCGGGACACAGCGAACGTATAATTTCATAGTAATTATGTGTTTTGTGTGTTAGAGGGGATACGATAGCTTTCACATTGACTTTTTTCAAACAATACTCCAATTCGGGAGCTTGGAATGCAGGATTGATACCTACCGACACGAGGCCGGCTCGACACGCACCCATCATTGTCAAGTACCAGTGGATATTATTGGGGCCCCACAATCCCACACGATCGCCCTTCTTTAGTCCTAGTTTAAGGAAACCTGCAGCGATGCGATCTACCTCATCGATCAGCGACGTAAATGTATACCGTTTACCCTCATGATACGATACGATTGCCTCCGTTGATCCATATATTCTGGCAGCCTTCTCCAATTCTTGACCAACGTTACGATAAACCAAAGGATTCTTGCCCTTGTTGTAGATATAACTTTGGTTACTTTCCCACGATGTGGCTGGACTGTATATCGAAGTTGAGAGGCTGAAAGAGAGTTCCGCAGTTTTCATTATTCGTCTTAAAATTACTTAAATCAAACGATTAAGGAATGTACAAATAAATACATGTATTTTTTAATGTATTAATTATATTATATATATAGTCACTTGTTCTAAACGAATTGGTAACATCATGAGGATAAGTTGTAGTAATTAATGTTGTTGACGGAGGTTTAGTTATATCATTCACATTAGATATTATGTCTATGCATTGGCTATGTTTTTAACCCTCCTCCAAATGGTGGAGTGTATATTATATGTGTAGTTTGCAACATCTTTTGATAGGAATAAAATGCTATGTTGATTTAGCAGAAAACCAGATATCGGTTAAACTGCGACAGTGATCTTGCATTTTTATGGGATATAACCTATTTGAATAATTTCAAACGGCTTTATTGTGTTATATATTCAACCCGTTCCAGCTTTGATATTGTCGGACATTTCAACGAAATGTATTCGATATCGAATGTAGTCATACCAAATTGAATAACATTGATCGAAACAATTCGATACTGACTGGTGTAACTTGACCCCTAATACTTTTAATTCTCGAACATTCAAAAATGTCAAGACTTGTTCAAATCTGCTTTCTGTTGGGACAGTTTTGAACACAATGGCTTCGTCCATTAAAACAGTTACAAACTGTTTACATTGATCTTAAAGTTTGTCATTTGCATACATAAAATTTATAAAAAACCAATAATTATACAAAATATTAGGATCCCCTATGTTTTTATTAAAGAGTTGGGTGACAATGAGATGTTACAAAATTTGGTTCAAATCGGATAGTGCCTTCGAATGATATTACAAAAATAATGTTCAGCTAAATGCTCACCATTTTGTTTGGAAGGTACCAGAAGGAGCGCACCGATATTCCTCATCTTCGAACTTGATTTAAGTTTGGAAAAAATATTACGATTTGCAAATTTAAATGAAATCGGTTACTACCTTCGAGAGTTATCGTAAATCTAATCCAAATTGTCTGAAACGGATTTGGTTCAAAGAAACATAAATTCTAAAACCAATATTTCCGTTGACAAATCCTTTGACATTAACCGAAGTAGTGCACTATTTTGTGGCTCATCAGAATTAGTTCAAGGCTAATGAAATTTTAAAAGTAAAAGAAATACATATGTATGTTTATGTTTATGTGTATGACATTTTGATGTTTTATGTTAATATGTTTTATGATATTAACACATTTGATGTGAAAATTAATAGTGATTGGCCTAAAATGATTTCGATACACAGTAACTATCGCTTATATGCACATAAGGTTTATAAATGATATATGCTTATACCGAAACTTCCCTCTTGCTTATACAAAAACTTCCCACTTGCTTATACAAAAATTTCCCTCTCTCCATATATGCAATATGTAGCAGTATTTGAACAAAGTAAGAGTTAAATAATTAAGGTAAAAAGTAAATTTGTTAACGCTCGAGCATATAAGCGGTAATTACTGTAAATCTGCAATAATTTTGCGGTAGCAGTTTTTTCTTCAGAGATTCAAGTATTTAAATCTTCAAAATTCCCTTATCATTGTTTGGGTTTTAATTTTTATGATGTTTATATCAGCAACCCTCAAATTACCTTGAGATTAGTTTTTGTCAATAAATTTCCAATTCTTATCGGAATATTATAATTGGTTTTATTTGTGTTATTATGTTATCTTTTAGTGTTTTGTTATCAATTTTATTGAAGAGCTCTTAACATATCATTAATTATATTTGCACAGTTACAAGATCGTAAAAAAATAGTATACATGGCACAAGCCTCAAAACTTTTATAATTTCTCCATTTTTTATTTTTGATGAACTTGAGTCTACCAGTTAGTTAGTTTAAATTTTATTCGTTATTGTTTGTATACATAGAACAGTTGGTTCTCTCTATACTGGAATTGCTTCCCAACACAATTGAAAATGTATGTATGTGGATATAGATTCTCAATTAACGAATTGATTGCAATTCTTTCAAATGGGCAATATTGTGAATTGTTCATATGAATCAATTGCTGTTACTTTTTGGAACTATTTCTATTTGAATATGACAATTTCAAAATGTACGATTTCCTTTTAAATAGAACCATAGACGTAGTTTTAAACTACCACCATTTCAATGAAAACAACGTTCTTTTGATATTAAAATTCTTTAGAATTAAAATCATGTAACGTATATACCACGAACTCAATTTAAATATTCTAGTTTTAAACACACTTTTCTCTGGTACTGTTTTCGATTAGTTTCACTTTAAATCAATAAATATTGTATTATTGCGTCTTTTTTAAGTTATAATAGCACACTTGTTTACAATGTCTGTTTGTTTACATCGTTGTGTTTGGCATTAGCCACATTTTCACATTCGCAATTCCAAAATTAATTCGCCGAGTACTTTTGTGTAAATTTCATTAGCAAATATATTTTATATTCTACGCACATACCTACGCAGAACTATCGGCAAATGGTTGGCTGTGTATTTTGAAGCGCAGTTTTTGCGATTTAAATGTCTGCCTAATGTATGAACGCGTCTGATGATCATTTTCCTTTTGTAATCCGAATGAAACCTTTAAAAAATATTTTATCTGTGTGTGGATATCCTTTAGGGGTTGTACTGTTTCCTCAGGTGTCTGTGCGTATTTGTTTGTTTCAAAGTGCCTTCAACTATTAACTACCGCTGTTTGCCGCTCTATCCGATTGACGTTGAGTTCAGTTCGCTGTCTCGCTAGCGACTAAATGCCTCATTTGTGGTTCACTACAACGAAATCTTTATTCGAATTTCGATTTGATCGTTGTTTTTATATTGAGTGGGGTGACCATATTTGATACAAATTGTCATTCTAAGTTTCGTATTTAAATTGAGAAGAAAAATGGAAGGAAGAGTATGGGTTGGTTATTCTATAGCAATGCAAAACACACATATAGGAGAATTTCAAATATTGTCGATGGTTTTTTACAATATAAACGAAAATTTCTAATTTATGACGATCACGTAAAATCAATTACAATGAGAGAAAATAGTATCTTCACCAATGGAGTACGCACCTACTCGAATTTTATGCTGGATTTAAATTGATTATTTCGACAATGTATTAATTACTTTAAAATTGAACTACGAAAAATATTTGGAAAAATAAATAAATGTATTTCTATGATTTAATCTCTTGAAATATATCACATGGGATTGATTGTTAGCCTTGAGGAACCTAACTTTTTCATTCAAAAATTATGTATGAATGTGTACTGTTATCGATTATATTAGATTATATATAACAAGAATTCCATTGCATTTTTTGTAGGTCATTAACATTCGTGCATCCGATGCAGCTGAAGCAATATGGCTACCTTTATTCCAAATGAATCTCAGACAAAACATTGTTTCTCAACAAAACCTTTTGTGTAGAAAACACCTTTTCATTACAAAGGTAGGACGTATTAAGAATTTTAATTCTACGTTTGATAAATAAAATTGAGTATTTTTAAATTCATAATAGTTTCTAATGTTCTGTATCTAATCTTTCAAATAAAATAAATATATTTTTCTACCTTCTGAGATGATGAAAACCAAAACATTTGTGAGGAAAATATGTTATGGGAAATCTACATATTTATTGAGAGACCTTTATATGTTTTTCATGACAATTTTATTGTAACTTAATTAATGTACACTTCTTGCGTGTAATCAACAGTTTTTGCAGCTCCCAATCAAACAAACAATAAGTTCTCTATTACTAGAATACAGTTTGTGTAGTGCGATAATGCAAAAATGGCATAACGATCGACAACTGGTACCATTTTTAAGGGGGGTGTGTGTGTGATTAGTTTAAAGGGTGTGTTATCAAACGTGACATAAAATCCTATGCATTATTTCTTATCAAATTTAGATTATTTGTTTTTATTTCTTGGAGAATGAATTAATTTCCATAATTTTAATCAAGTTTCCATCTTCCACATTGTTATTTTGTTTTTCAACTAACAGAATCTTATCGAAGCAGTGCTGTGTCCAAAATTATAAATGGGCGCGACAGAAATGGTTGGAAATATTCCGCTGTCTAGTTTTGTGTACATATGCTCTGCCGATGAAGTCTGTTTCGTACAGGTAGTTCTAGCAAAAGTAAACTAAATGCGCAGTAGAATTAAAAAAAAAAAAAAAAAACATAAACTGTTCTGTGGACACGTGTAGTTATTCTTATCAACAAAACGAAAAGGCGAATGTAGAGTGCCGTTCTTTTCACAATTCTTCGTGTGTGGACACTAACAAAGCGTGAGGGTGTTTTGACAACCTGTGGAATTATTCTAAATGTTTTTAATTAGGTTGACAGTGTTTGCAAACTTGTTTGTTGAGGGTTGTGCCGGCTATTTGAAATGTATGCAGAAGCATATCAGCGAAGTGTTGTTTGTTTGATTTCTTTGCATAAATTGTTAAAAAGTTCGCTTTTTCAAAGTAATGGATTTTTTGATATTTTTGTTTTGTTCTCTGTATAAAAATATATTTGAAAATGACGTTGAATAAATGAATATGAAAGTGGAGATGACGTTGAATAAATGAATATGAAAGTGGAGATTTTACCAAGTAGGATGAACGAATATAAAATTGATGTTTAAAGGTTATCAAAAAACTATTTTTGGAAAAAGAATTTATTCTATTTCATGGCAATAGTTTTGATGTGAAACAATTTTAGGTTTGACAACTTAGTATGTTTCACTTTATACAGGATAAAACCGATATAAGAAAGTAGGGAGACTGGGCACATTCGGTACTATTTTATAGCTCTATATCTCAGTACATATTCAACAGATATAAAAACTTTTATTGTCGTCTGAAAGTTAATTATAAACCAGTGAGCGGAGCAGTATAGTCGGACGGGCCGACCATATGATACCCTACACAACTTCCATTAAATTTAACCTTGTGTGGTTCTATATTCTGATCTTGGGCAATATTTTCAGTCTATTGACCTTCAACGTGCGTTATGTTTTTATGTTCGGCTTTCAATTGTGGCCTATAGATCGACTCGAAAAACACAAAAAATTAAGTTTTCGGTCCACTTCATCCCAGTATTATTATTTGATCATCCCCGAAAATTATAGGCGTTGTCCTTGACAATAACTGGAACCTCATGGAACATTTCAAAGCGATCAGCGCTAAAATCCGCCCTCTAATGTGGTAATGGGTTACTAAATAATATATGAATACGTAAACACCTGAAAATATTTAAGTGTAACTCCCACATCCGAGTACATAGGACAATATAATTGGTATCAATTTAAAGGTCAACCACTCCCCTCACATATGCAATCATTTTTTCGGGTCTTTATTCTTCAGGGGTAAATATATACGCTATGGAATACAAATTTTGTCATTTTTCACACAAAAGTCATGGTCCATTTGACCCACTAAATATTGACCGATCTTTATCAAAACAGGCATGCTTATTCTTTGGCCCAATCCCCTTCTCCATGCAAAAATTCGCGGTGTTTGGGCCATAATTGCGGCCACTGGAGCGACCAGAAAAACAGACAAAAATAAAGTTTTTGGTCCATTTCATCCACTAAATATTAACCGATCTTTACCAAAAACAATAGGGGTCTTCATTGGCCAGAACCCATCCTACATGCAGAATTTCGTGAAGATTGGTCCATAACTGTGGCCTGTATCGTGTTTACAAATTATAATGGACGGACGGACGGAAGGACACACATGTCTAGATCGACTCAGCTAGTCGAGATATGACGATCGGTATACTTAAAGGTGGGTCTAGGACCAATATTTCGCGGCGTTACAAACTTTTGTGTCTGCACAAAGCTATAATACCCTGACAACATAGTTGTGTATGGTATAAAAATAGCACCAAAAATATATAATAAATTATTTAAAAATTGTAAAAATTTTGTAAAAAAAAATCCCGAATGTGCCCCTACCTGGGGTAGTTTCGGCATTTGATGGGGCACATTCCGCACCATAGTCATAGCCTGGTAATTATCACCACTATTAGTCTGGTTAAAATTCAGATCCTGTAAATATTCCATTTTGTTTAAGGCTATATTTTCTAGCGGCGGACGTTGACATCTCAAGGTCACACACACCATCAGAAATAGCTTTTTTCTACCAAATATGCAACGTTTTGTTGTAGTTTTTCCCATTTTAAAGGTAAATTCATAATGTCACTCTCATAGAAGTCCTGCTCTCTATTTGCAAAAAACTCTAGTAGTCGATTTTCACAATCCTTCCTAGATACCAATTTTTTATCGTTGAAAACTAAGTCCAGACTGTATGGCAGATGCATTAAAACTTCCCAACCAAGCTCCCCAAGTTTCTGGTGAGTCACTGTAGATGTGTGTGGCCTAGCGTTGTCCTCGTAGAACACGACACCTCGTTTTGGCCATAATAAATAACTCATAATAAATAATCCCCTTCCAGTCCCACCAAATGCATAGTGGAACCGTGGCTACCGTTTGAGGTGCTTTGACTATCGTTTTCTCACAGGGTTATCGTATGTGATCCATTTCTCATCTCCAGTCACCATCCGTTTAAGAAATGAGTTTGACCAAGGCTTCGCAGATGGAAATTCCATCCATCCTATTTTTTCTGTTAATTAGTGAATCCAGCTTTGTGTAAATAGTTTAAAACTGTTTTATGGCCGATTTTTAGCTCCTGGGCCATGTTACGACGGCTGATTTTATCGACATTTTCGACGATCGGACTAACGAATTTCTTTTTCCCAACCTAATATATATAATAAATTACTGATTTTTTTTTACATAAATGGGTGCGGTAAAGTTATTACGGAGATACAAAAGACAAAAATTTGAAAATTAATAAATCATTCAGAGTGTGAGATTACATTAAGCGTCTAAAAAAGGAAAAATCAACAAAGGACAATTTCAATTTTATTTTAAGAAATAAAGGACGAATTCGGATGAAAATAGCTTAAAATTGATATTCCAAATTCAGAACATTTTCAGCTATCTGTTAAAATACGTACCATTTCTCGATATTTAAAGTTTACTCTAGAATAACATGGACTAAACTAATATCCAAGCTACGATTAACGAACGCTTACAAGTAAAAATAGTGGAATTGGATAAATGGATATGGCTTGGACACATAAATTGTAAATTATTATATTTTCTGCTTAGAATAAGTTGTTTTTTGGCTGGACCAAATTGTTATAGTTTTAGCATACGCGATAAATGTAAAAACCATGTTGTAAGACCGAAGCCTGATTTTCGGGGGAGTCATATTGCATGGGCTGCATACTCGTACAAATATAAGCTTCCAATTTGGATTCTGAAATGTATATTGAATTATAATATATATTGAAAAAGAGGACAATTATATAATTTTTCACCAGAATAACGCTTACATCCATGCCTTGAAGCAAACAAAAACTTGGTTTTCTGACAAAAATATAAATATTTAACCACGGACGGCTTGCACTCCAGACTGTAATCCTATTGAAAACTCGTATGATATTTCTATGTCAAAAGTGTATAACTCGGCTAATGTTTCCTTTTGTAAATTACCTTAAATATGGTGTG